AACCCACCCTAACCTGCACATCCCTGGGCACTATGGGTAATTTCCCATGGCTAACCCACCCTAACCTGCACATCCCTGGGCACTATGGGTAATTTCCCATGGCTAACCCACCCTAACCTGCACATCCCTGGGCACTATGGGTAATTTCCCATGGCTTTCCCACCCTAACCTGCATATCCCTGGACACTATTGGGAATTTAGCATGGCCAATCCACCCTAACCTTTGGACTGTGGGAGGAAACGGGAAGAAAGGAGCCAGGCTCCGACAGCTTGCGCTTCCGTTCAGCGGAATTATGGCTGATCCGACATTCCTCAGGCCCGCTCTCCCTCGAGTTCCCTACTCATCGTGCATCTGAGCTTTAAGTGTACCTGGGAACACCAGTCCCCTTCGAGCTTCCTTCCTCCGAGTCCACTCCCCGTCCCGACTCGGAAATATATCGGCCGTTCCTTCAGTGTGGGCTGGGTCTGAATCCCTGGAATTCCCCTCCCTGAGAGGGACACTGTGGGTCTACTCTACAGCACATGGGACTGCAGCAGTTCAAGGTGGCGACTCAGCACCAGCTCCTCAAAGGGGGCAATTAGGGACAGGGGCTATAAATGCTGGCCAAGCAGCGATGCCCACATCCCATGCATTAAATAAAACACCCTGCCCTCAACAATTTTCTGTGGCAATGGAGTTCCAAAGTCTCGCAACCTTCTGAGAAGAGAAATTTCTCCTCATCTCAGTCTTAAATTGTGTTCCTTTATTCTGAAACTGTGCCCTCTGGTGCTAGACTGTCCCACGAGGGGAGAAACCTCCTCTCAGCATTTATCCTGTCGAGTTCCTTGAGAATCCTATATGTTTCAATGAGGGCACCGCTCATTCTTCTAAACCCCAGTGAGTACAGTCCCAGCCCATTCGCTCATAAGACAATCTCTCCGTACCAGGGATCATCCCAGTGAACCTCCTCTAAACTGCCTGCAATTAAACAATATCTTTCCTTAAATAAGGGAACCAAACCTGCTCCCAGTCCTCCAGATGTGGTCTCACTGGCACCTTGTACGCTTTCAGTAAGCCTTCCTGACTCCAACCCCCTTTGAAATAAGGGCCAACACCCCATTAGCAGAGGAAGGTGATGGCCTAGTGGTATTATCGCTGGACTGTTTATCCAGAGATCCAGATAACGTTCTGGGGACCGGGGTTCAAATCCCGCCACGGCAGGTGGTGAAATTTGACTTGTGTAAGTATCTGGAATTAAGAATCTAATGATGACCGTGAATCCATTTCCAATTGTTGGGGAAAAACCCATCCGGCTCTCTTTAGGGAAAGAGACTGCCATCCTTACCTGGTCTGGCCTACATGTGACTCCAGACCCCACAGCAATGTGGTTGACTCTTAACTGCCCTCTGGGCAATTAGGAATGGGGCAATAAATGCTGGCCTGGCTAGCAATGCCCACATCCTGTGAACGATTACCTGTTGAATGCCGACCTGTTGCCTGTGTGCAAGCTTTCTGTGTCTCGCTCATAAGTCACCCCAAATTCCTTTGTGTTACAGCTTTCTGCAGTCTTTCACCGTTTGAATAACACTCTGCTCTCCCTTCCAAAAGGAGCACCTTTCTTTGCCCGTCTGTAAACGATTTGCATCCCTCTTGCAACCTGCCTTTCCACCTGTTTTTTGCATTGTCTGCGAGTCTGGCTACAGTGCAATCTCTTCCGACCTCCGGGCCTTTAACTCCACTCCCAGGTCACCGACCTTATCCCCCGTTCGCTGCTCGCTCAGAAGGGTGCAGAGGAGATTAGAATCACAGACCCCCAACAGCGTGGGGGACAGACCATTTGGCCCGTCGAGCCCGCACCACTCCCCCCTTCCAACAGCATCCCACCCAGACCCATTCCCCTACACTATCCCTGTAAACCCCTGCATTTCCCATGGCCAATCCAGCCGCACACCTTCCGACTGTGGGAGGAAACCAGAGCACGCGGCTACTCCCCTGACCATTAATGAGGATGTTGCAAACACGCAGCGGTGAGTAAAGGCTGGAGCAGACGAGGTTGGTACTCGCTCGAATAGGGGTGGCCCCTTTGATGGAGGCGTACAGAACTGAGTGAAGGGCCTGTTCGCCTTCAAAGAGGCCATTTGCTGGCTGGTGGGAGGTGGGTTACATAGATCTACAGGCCGTAGGAGCAATGGCGAGACCGTCTTCGTATGGGTGGGGGGGACGGGGGGAGGTGCAGTTGGGGTGTGGGATTGCGAGGTCTAGCGGGTAAGCATCCCTGCCTCAGGTTCGAATCCCGCCCCCAATGCCAACACCGGCTGAGCGGTCCATTTCTGACCACCGCAGCTTCGACGGGCCAAAGGGCACGTCTCTCTGAGCCCTTGACCCACCGGCCTTTCGGGGTGGAGGGGGGAGGTGAGCAGCTGCATGGGTAACGTGGCACACCCCCAACCTGCCCCGAAGAGGTTGACCATCCCGCTGCAGACCCTTGCCAGGATGGCAGGAGGTTTATTTTTTTGTGGGGGGGAGGGGGAAGAAACAGAGACCCGCCCCGCCATCAGGTATTCGTGGCTCCAGGGCGCTGGGATGGTCAAAAAGTGACAGCAAATCCCCTAGCGAAATGTTAATAAACTGCACCGTCGCCAACGTGAGGTCATCATCTCCGATGGGCCGAAAGGCTGGAGTGGGGATGAAATGGAGTTAAACTGAACGCAGAACAGAAGAGAGGAAGGAGCCAGGCGGGGCGTCATTACCTTGAAGAAAGGGCTGCCGTATCTGGCCAGGAGCGCGTCACACTGAGGTTTGTTCCTTATGTACAGGGCGTACATGGCAAAGTGCTCTTTCTGCAAGCAGGAGGGTGGGGGGACAGAGGGAGAGAGAGGGAGGGAGAGAGAGAGAGAGAGAGAGACGGAGAGAGGTCAGGCCACGTTCATGAAACTGAAACTACAGAGAAGTGAAAGCTGAGGGAAGGTGGAGGACTGGGT